GTGAGGATAGACCCGATTTGAGCTGCCTCCAACGTCTGCAACACGAGTACGTCAAAATAGACAGTTATTTGGCAATCAACATGAAGAATGAATGAAGCAATCAATCTGAAAAGGAGGGACTGACATCTGATCCGTGGATCAGCCTTGGGCAGTTCTAAGACATAGAATCATTGGTGGTGGAAATTTAAGGTTTCCGGTCCTTTATAGAGAAGCAGTCCAGTGACTCACGTCTCAGGGAAGAAAGGAAGGAGGCTGGCAAGGGGACACATAGTTACACCAAATCCGATAGGTCTCGCTGGTCTCGATCACAAAATCTTTTTGGTGGTACTCTCACTGCGTCACTTTTCTGTCATCATGTTTTGGCAAGAGACGGATTCAAAGGGTCCAAGCTAGACATAAGTTTAAGTAAAGTGGTATTTTGCGTTGGCTAAACCTTCTCAAGCAACCAGTAAAGTGAGGGGAATGTCTTCTCTGTTGGCAAGAGCATGCGAATAAAAACTGGGTCCGTCAAAGTTGTGCCAAGCAAAAACATGGAAGTGTATTCGCGTCAATAACAGAGGAACTTTCATAATCTCGACTCCAAATCATGGGAAACATGGCCACGGTGTTGCGGATAATTTTAGGCGAAGTGTAGCATTTTATTGTCAACTAAAACACGGTATAGTTGAATTCACTGAGGCAGCGCCAAAGACCGTTTCACCACTTTTTCAGCACTTTGTGACCTCGCTTTCGCAGTCTCGTGCAAAGCCGCTCGTCTTAGCCACCACTGGAAGTGGGGAAGAAGAGGATAAATAGAAAGAGAAGAGCTTATTTCTTTTCTTGCCTTCTTCTTCTCCAAGCCCCGCTTTTACTCCCATCAACGGCGTTGTTCAGCAAAAAACTACACAAAGAATGCTAGTGAAAACTGCCTTTCCCAACCAGATTACAACCCTTTGAAAGACTCATTTGTGACTAAATCGAACCTCACCGTTGCTGGCTTTGCGTAACTTTGTTATGTGATGATAAAGGGGACTCGAACACTGCATCTTTTCAATCCATCGATGACTGACGCTGAAGTTTGGCGGCAGCAGGGACAAAGAAGGGATAAAAACCATGTGATAGAGTGGCGGCTATGACAATCTAATATTACAAATTACTTTTGTCATATCTCGCAAGAAATGCCTCCTAATCATGCAAACAGATGTTTTATCAAAAAGTATTTGAAAAATTTCCCCTAGTAAAACAACTCACTGAAAAGAATCTTTTTTTTATTGAAAGTAAAAGGGAAATGTAAACGCAAAATAGTTACTCAAGAGTGGATGAGAAAGGGACTACTACATTCCCCAAATTCCAGCTACTTCTTTTAGGTTTGCAGGACAAACAGGAAGAAATCTACAGAGTGATCTCAATTCAACTGTTAAAAAGCACATTACTTTGGCCGTGCTTGGTACCTCCGCAATAGGAGGCGGGCGCAATTCTTAATTCCCACTGCTTTAAATGGCGTGTGATGAGTGACAATAGGGGTCGAGGTAATTACGACTGATGTCAATCCCCAAACCACAGGGGACACATCGGCTCCAAAGGCGGAGTTTTCAGAGCCGCTGGCAAATGGGAGGCATTTCGGTTTGGCTTAACAAATTGCCACAAAACTCAGCATTTTATTGCAAAGTAATAATCTTTTATGCAATGGACAGTCCTGTTGGGACCGTGGCAGGTCTGTAGGTGGCCCTGCTTTCTCACTCCAAGGTGCCTCAAGACTCACACAAGGGGGGAATTTGCGTGGCACATTTTATTGCCTCGTATTATTTTTTCCTCACTTCTCGGCAAGCATTGCGTAAGAGCAAAACCATTCTCACTAAAGGCACTTTAAACAAACCGAATGGCGGCGAATCCGGTGATGGTTCTCAATCCATCGTTTGTAAGAGTTTCTTGGTCGTTTCTTACACCCGTTCCCAGTTACAAACTATTTGCCTTACTCTTCCGACTCCCACATGCACTGATATGTTCAATCAGACCAATTGAGATGGCTGACCATGACAGTGGCCAAATTCGTACTTCACAAACTGGACGCTGCACTTGGGAGTGACAGAAGGAAAGCCTCCAATGGAGGAGGCGAAGACCAGGAGACTCATTGATAGTGGAGTAACAAAGGAAATCGTGCACCATTTTCTCAAATTTGACATTCAGAATTTCCAACTTAGTGAGGAGCAGACATTTTGGCGACTTTGTTTCGGTTCAACACCCACAAGAACTGCTCCTCAATCTCTGCAATTTGATTGTTGTTTTGCTGCCAACGTTCCTCTAGAACAAACAAATCGACCTTCTCCCATAGAAACATACCGTGTGATCTACTAGGGAGCAAATTGGAGGCGTCTTATAGCCGTAGTGATCATGAAAAAAAGGAAAAAAAAAACAGGACGACAAAGTAGTGTTTGCATAAAGTGAGACCCTTAAAACTGATTTTATTTCGAAGTGAAGGGAGACGTCCAAAATTCAAATTGAGTCAAGTATTCCACCAGAATGGACGAGGGAGAGGAGAGACGAGCGCGGGAGGTAGATTATCCTCAAACATAATTCATCTGTGCAGCCAAAAACGAGCAAACGGAGGTGAGGAACATTCGTGAATCCATTTTCCGTAATTAACGCATTCAAAGTCATTTTTGAGGGAAAAAATGTGGGAAAGTCAGGAACTCTAAATTCCAACCCAGCAGTGCAACTTAATTAGCAAGTTAGGGGAATCGAGATCACCTCTTTTGTCTGCATTTTGGAAATGACTTAAATCAGTCAAAAAGTTTCAAAGCATGTACTTGCGATGTGATTATTCCTTCTCGTAGCTTTGGACATTTAATGCTTCTATTGTCAGCATCTTTTGCTTTTCGCCAGAAACAAGTGTCAGAAGACAAACGGGGAGAAATTAAAGGAGTGTGAGATGCGTTGAATGCCTTTGGGCGGAGGACAGAAGCAGAGGACTTAAGTGGGCCATCGGGACAGTGGGTGGCCGACGCATTCGTAAGCGCAATTGGAGAGAAGTGGGACGATTTCAGCATTGTCCAACAATTTCATGCTAAGGAATGGAAATCACCGGTCCATTATTTTGCTAGTGTCAAGGCGATTTGTAGTTTGTGACAACAGACCAAGCTCCTTAAATATTGATAGACGCTCAAGTAGTGTAAACTTCCAAGGCATTCACAATTTCCCTGAAGAATTAGTAAAACTTAGCTAATTTTGATCCTGTTAACAAATGCATTTCATTGTCAATGACCGCAAAGTCACTGGTTGATCTTTTGGTTGACTTTTTAAGCTCTCCACGTGGCTTATGAAGACTCTCATCTCGGAACGGAAAAGATAACGACTTTTTGCCCTTCACTTATCTATAAATACTTCAAACGCAGTTGGCTCAGAAGATAAACACAACGCAAGGTAATCAAAAAACTGAATTTAATCAAAAGTCGCCAAATTTGTAAGTAAAGGCTTTCGACTCCAAACTCTCACACTCAGTCTATCAATGGCAAAAAAAGCCTCAAATTTATCTAAACAGAACACAAAAGTTTCATCGCATAGATTATGCGAAAGGCTATGGGAAAGGCAAGAAAGGCGTTCAATCACAAAAAACATAATTTATTTCTCCCAAATGGGCTTGTAAATAAGGGAGAGAAAGTGACAGGAATTGCGACGATCCTTTTTTTGCGCATGGCTGACGGATTAACTAAATCGGGAAACAACCTCCTTCCCCACCCACACATTCGATTGAAGCACAGTTGCAATTCGCAGCCTCGGGATTCACAACCCCGGCAAAATGCAACTCCTTCAAAAATCTGAGTAAGAAAGGAAGGAAAAATGGGGTGGTAGGACATTCCACATGAAAAACTGACAAAAGATTTTTCAGAGAAGGCGATTGTTAGCGCCAAAACGAGGGATGGCAAGCTTTTGACGAATTTATGAGTGTTTTAAGTTGAACAAATTAATTATGTAATTGAATTCCATATCATTCATCCAAAATAGGAAAAATAATCACATAGATTCTGCAATAAAATCCTTAAGTTTGCTGAATATACAAGAAGAACTAGCAAAAAGTACAAATCGTGCCAGTGAAAAGGCGAAACTCACGGTGAGGTTATATCCAAAAGGTGCGCTTTCTCGATCCAACGAAACTTTCGCGGTTAGATTGCCGTCCCTATCGATGGTGAGCACCTGGTCGGCGGGTTGCGTGCCTTTCGGCCATTGTATGTCGTAGGAGAGTCGAGCCGCCTCCCCATCATCAGCGTCTGAGGCCTTCACTTGACCCACAACGCTGTCTTTCACTTGGCCCTCCTTTGTCTACAAGAGTAAACGTGGCGTCGCTCAAATACAACTCAAGTAGCATGTGACACCAACCTGAAGAATTTTGAATTTGTGTACTAGAATAGAAATTAAAAAAAGTACTGCGAGATATTTGGAACAACTTTGGTGGTTGGAAATTTATCTCACAATCATTATGCATAAGGAACTACAGTGGATGACGGTCTGGTAGGTAGGAGAATGAGGAAGGAAGTCCGAAGTCATGACAACTGAAACGATGTGTGTGTGTGTGTGTGTTAGGTTTAACTGCTGCTTACATCCATGCGTGGGACATATTTCCCAACGGCCAAATGCCTGAGTTCACTTTTGAGGCAATTACGAAGACTAACGCCTGGCTATTATTCGAAGACCAAAAAGTTGCTTTTGGGCTGTGCGTAAGTTTCCCTGCCAGTGCTTGTTTAGGCGAGCACTTCACTAAACTAATGGCTACTTGGAGTTGGAATGTGGGCGAATCAACTTTTTCCCGCAAACGCTTGCCCTATCATTATCCGCCATTCGGTCTTTTTCCTGGTGGGTTTTACAACACTTTTAGTCTGCCATGAGTGAACTCAATTTCTGTATGGTGATGAAAATGGGCTGATGGAAGGCACAAGAGGAGAAAATCCCTCTCCATCCCCACTAGGACAACGGTTCGTGGGTGCAGTCAACACAGTACAAAACTGCTGATCTGTCACCAAATGTCCATCCACAACCAACAACTATGACTGGATAATAAGGTATAAAGATAGGTAAGCAAATCCTTGCGAAAACTCGAAAGTTGACTCACTGTGTGGCAGTTGGATACTGGAGGACACCATTTCTGTTTGAAATCAAACCGTAGGATTAAATAGTATTTTTAATGAAAACATTTCACCTGTTTAAACAGTCAATCCTTTCAAGTGAGGACAAATTTCAAAGCCGCCCACAATGCAGAACTATTTTTAAACAGTTAGTGTTGACCTCTAAATCAAAGCTACTTCATTTTTATTGTCCCACGACCCAACGAAACAATGAAAATGGCATTCACAGTAGTGGAGAGAGGGGAAGCTAGCGTAGACTTCCATTGTGTAGTGCAAGCTGATGAATGACGCTGTTCCAAAGCAAGAAGCTCATGCAGAGCCAATGTGAAGCTGAAAATTGAATCTCCTGACAAGAAGCCTGTTTTAGGTGAGAGACGCTAGTGACAATGAATGGAAACTGTTTAGAGCCACAGTGACATTCGAGGTAAAATTAGACGTACCCAGGAGGTACTTCAATGGAATGGCACATCCGAATGTTAAAATGGATCTGCATCTGCCCTTTCTCTCTCTCTACCTTAAGACATGAAGCAAAAGTTCGTTATCATTCCTGAACCCAGAGGGCTTGCCTCGAAAACTGCTGGGAAAAAAATAATTGCATCTTTTCCACCTCTACTATGTTATGCAATTGCGTGCGACCCGTTGGCACAACACACCCGCGGAGAGGGAGAGCCGCCCAACTTCGTTGAAGTGGGGCAAAAATTGCTCGCGAATTAGCTGGAATGAGTTGGTCTGCAGTTGCATTTGGCGGTACGTAAGCAAATTTGGCGGAAAATTCGACAAGAAGTCAGTGCTTCTAAGCGACTTAAAAATTGTTTTGCCACTTCTAAATGTCGTCAAGTTTTGAAAAAGAGGGAGACCTTTTTAGGAACCATAGGGGCAAGCAAAGGATCACTTTAAAATGTCAGACGAGCAGATTCCACCTGCAGTTAGGCAACAAAAGTCGTAGTTTTTGATTCACCCTCTCTGTTGGCGGATCAAATGGATTGTGACATTTGAAATTCAAACAAATTTTCTCCTGCCCACGGACAGGCGTTTTCGTTATCGTAAACTGGGGAAAAACCGTGTCATGCATGCCTAATTTTCCTCCCACTGTAACTCCCCTAATCAGTGTGTGCATGTGGATTTACGGGAGAGCGATGATTTTCTGCAAAACTGGGGCAGCACATTGCTGCAATGATGGTTTCCTTCACTACAAATGTGGAGGTAACCTCAGTACCCTTCTATGGAGTCGCCTTTCTCAAAGGAAAAGGCGGCTTCCAAATGGAAATGCTTGGGAAAGGGCGCTCCTACTGAGCGGGTTTTGATAGTTGAAAAGCCCTTCAAACTACAAAACCCTTAGTTCGAGTGGTTCTTGAATAAACGCCTCTTAACTGGTGAAGACGACCCTCCACTTTCCCACCTCAACTCTAAGTACAGGGCGTTGGAAATGTTACTTTCTCTTCACTCTGCGCCTCTGAAGACGCAAAGAGATGGTTGCTAAACGCTCTCCTTCATTTCATGCGAGCGGATGCTGGTAATGAGTAGCATCTAGTGAAAACAGTTTTGGTGTATGGCGCATGTCAAATGAAGTTGGTGTGTTGTTTTGCTGCACGTCCAACAGCCACAACCTCCAACCATTTGAACACTCTTTTCCGCCAAATTGGCGAAAAAATGGCAACTTTCAGGTTGACATTTCCTGTCAACAAAAACTGCGGTTTCTCTCGTCTAATTTTTGTCTTGGTTCGACATTTCCTTCAATCTCTAGTGCTTCCCGAAAGGCCACGGTCTCGTCGCAAAACTTATGCCGCATAAGCTGTTGAAGAACTCAGTAACTGGTGTTCCAAAGTTCAGCCTTAAGAACATTCTTTAAGTGGATTTGATGGGTGACATGGATTCTTAAAACCCTCGAGGCGACATAAACGGATAGCTAAAAAGGGAATTTGCAATGAAGGCAAAGTGGCATCGCACCAACTTACAGTCAGGCGGTAGAAGGGAAATTCGAAAACTGGACTGTTGTCATTCTCGTCCTCAATGAGAAACCGGATCTGGTGGTTGGAGGAGAGACGTGGACTCCCCTTGTCTTCGCAGAATATTCCAACAGTTCGAATATTTCCCTCCTCCCGATCAAATGTGCCACTCACAAAGAGGTCATAAATCATTACTTGAGGCAATTGACCTTTTAAAACAAGAGAAAAATGCTCCGAGTCCTCCGATTGTAGTGAACAGTCAAATTCACCTCCTTCACTCGTATCTCTGTCATTCACGGTCACAGTGGCCAAATGCTTCTTCACCAGCTTCACATTTTCTCGAATTCGTACTACAGTTACATCCAAATCCTCCGTATTGTCTTCTTGAAGTCTGTGGGACATGGAAGATCGGATATTAATGCTAGGGGGATGATTATTAGCGTCTTTCAGTTGAATAGAAACTTCCGTAAATGAAGAGCGTGGCGGCCTCCCGTTATCTATAGCAACAACCTGGAAATTCCATGCTATCGGACCGTCATCGTAGCTCAAAGGACGAGCTACCCGAAGTTGACCTGTATGGCCATCGATACTGAAGGTTTTTTGGGTTTCGAGAGGTGTCGAACGCGCAAAAGCATAATACACCCGTCCATTTGCACCTTCATCTGGATCTTCGGCTTGAAAGTGATTCACGAATGGACCTGTAACTCCATTGTCATCAGATTGACGGGAACTAGAAATGGGTCGCAGTTGAATAGTACTTCCAACAGGTGCTACTTCTGGTAGCTGAGCCACATAGCGTTGGAATGTAAAGGTGGGAGAATGATCGTTGTCATCACTAACTCTGACGTGAATCTTCAAAGCGCCAGTGTGATAAGGCGGACTTCCATCCATGGCTAGAAGGGTCAAATTTATCCATGGTAATGTCTCTCTATCTAGGGGTTTCAGCAGAACTAAGACTGGACTCCCGACTGGAGAGGATGCGGTTTTAATGCGTTTTTGCTGATCCCGTGTCTGGTGCCGTTTGAGCGAAGGAGAATGGAATGGGTTGGTTTTTAACATAAATAAATCCTCATAAGCTGGAGGTGTTATTAATTTGTACTCCTTGACGCCATTTACACCATAATCTGGATCATGGGCTGAAGATAATTCTGTAGTGAAATTAGGAGCACTATTCTCAGGAATTGTTATCGTTACAAAGGGAACGGACCAGGAAGGAGCGTTGTCATTGACATCTTCAATATGTACACGAAGGGAGATATAATTGCCGTTAGTATCGACTAGAAAACTGCTCCATTCACAGGTCTCTGGAAAGCCTGGTTCTTTACAAAGCCCTGGACTACCCTCACGATCCAAGCTCCCAGCCACTAAGAGAGATCCTTCAGAGTCGAATTTGAAGTAGGGATTCTGTGGAAGGGAGAATTGGAATCTCTGATCCAGTGGCAAACTAATTTTGTCATAGATACTTCCAATTATCTGACCCTGTTCTGTATTCTCTTCCACCTGAAACGTGACTTGTGGAAGGTCTCTGTGCTCAATCCTAGTAGTGTCAAGATTTGAGGACATGGAAAAGCTGAAGTTCATTGATAGGACCAGAAAAAGCTGCAAGAAAACAGCTAATCCAGCAGCCTGAATGAGCATTTTAGGTGGAAACGACAGAAGGCGATAGGGGAGTTCGGTAGATCCATGAACAGCCGGTCTCGATTAGTACTTGCATTCGAGACGGCAACCCGAAACGTGCATTAATAATGTGCAGAATGGTATGGTCATGCCCTTGCTTTTCAGGCACAACCCCATCCTCCTATTGGCCCATAAAATGACCAATCAGTGGAAAACCGAAGCGCTATTGGTTAGCTAGATGTGGCGTTTAGTTTGGCGCATCCTAAGGCAACCCTGAGGGGCTTTCTGTGGGGCTTTGTGCTGCAGTTTGGTTTTATTTTGACAAAGTACAAACATACATACACACACACACAGGCAGATATATATGCATAGAGAAACGCATACATTATGGGGTGTGAAAACCGGTTGGGCTGTTGGGATCCATGGTTGTTAGAATCAGCTAGCTTCCTTTTATTGGGGTTCTCGAAGCCGTGAGTTGACAGATGGGCATCATAAAATTCGCTACCATTTGCCTTGTTTGGCTATAATCGTGCTAGCCCTTGTGATAAAGTACTAACTTCTCCAATAGAGGTCAAGGTAACGGTGATTTTTTCCCTTTCTAATTTGTTGAAATTAATATTTGTTGTTGTTTAACATAACTTCTACCAACAACTCTGCTTTAAAAAACACTTAATTCAGTTATACAAAATATTATTTCTTTGAAGTGGTATTTTAACTTTATAATCATCAAGTAAGAAATAGTCGAATACTACTTGAAATCGGGGAGAAAGATTTCGCGTTAACATTCCCAATTTCTAGGAAAAGAATTGAAGTACTTTTTATGTTCTTAGGTTAGCCAGGAGGATTTTTTTGAGAAGGTGGTTTAATTAATCGCTTAGTTTTTAAAGGAGGTGAACTCTGGATTCCATTTTATTCTTTTTTAGATTTGGAAGGAGTTTTAGCATGCCTTAAACCATGGTTTGGTGGTCTAGACGGCTTAATGAACTGGTTGATTTCTCTTTCTCTGTCTTAACGCCGTAGGACATTTTCAACGTCATCCTTTTGGATGAGGTGTTATGGTGACATGACACTACCACGGCTAATAAACAAGGCGAGGTCAATGCCAATTAAAATTGCACAAGTACATAAAAGAGATTATCTTTAACTCGGATCTTCGCTGCAGTTTTGGGAGCGACTTCAGTTGCATAAATAAGCACAGCTACTAACAGCAGGAGGAGGATTAAGCAAACTTAGATCGGTGACAGAGCCATGGACCATCAGCGTTACCGGTCTTAGGTGCACAGAGGAGGTTAAAAGGTACAGTGGATGAATCATGCTGAGTAATTGCACATTTGCGAAATTCGCTATGAAAAAGAACATTTTATCGTAGAGATGGGTGCCATCGCTGATCGGCATTAAAGTTTGTCTCAAGGTGACTTCCACTGCTAAACGGTGTTTTCCTTTCAGGAGCAAAACACCTAGGCCTCAGCAATCCAGTTCCTACTTGTCTCTTTTTTCTCGGAAGAATTGCCGATTCTGCTATGCAGTTGTTCAGTGTTCAAAGGAGATGAATATCACCAGTCGGTAAAATATCAGCGGGAGACTGGAAAGGGCGTGAAGGCTAAAACCACACCTTGGCGCTCCTCTAGGCGAAATATTGTCATTAAGTAAGTTTGTAGTCTAAAATGTGGGACTAAGAAGTCATCTAGACGGGCACTCTCTACCACCTACTTCGAAATAGGTAGCAGAATTTGACGAGCTTTGAAATGTATTAAATAAAATGCATGAGGCAAATAGGCTGACCTCTCACGGAGCAGTTTGACAGTCAGCAGATGAACGGCTGCATCTGTATGCAGAGCTGTCAGTCTTCTAAAGTGCCTTTCACTGTGGACCCTTGCGCCGACAGGCCAACAATGCAACAGGATGCGCCCATTCGTTGCAGTTGAATTAAGTGCAATCAACTACGTAGCCCCTAAAATCTGTCCGTTTCCTCGAGATACTACGACCTCTCCTTTCCATTCGGCACAGGTGAAGATGAGTTGTCAGAGCATGACCACTTACCTTCAGTTCCAGTAGATGATCTTCCTAACAGGCCCTCTTCCATGATGGAGTTTAAGTCCTCTTTGTTAAAAGAAAAATCCCACTTCTCACTTTTACAAATGCGCCCCAAGATTACGGACGAGATTACAGCATCTGCATCATTAGCACCACCTTGTTCTGTTGGCTTGCATTACACCCTTTTATTTTCTCAATCTTCAGTAATTTCTCTACTTTAGCTCATATATTCAGTCTTTATTATTGCCTCAAAGACCGTGCTGCCTTGTACCAACCTCCTTGTAATCGCTATTGTTGCCTATCACAACCACAAACATTAAGTGAGGAGTGCAGTCTTCCCAATAGTGCGTACAATCGAAATCCTGATGAGGCATTGAAGGAGGGCTTCTCGCAACACCAAATGAAAGCTTACAGTAGTTAGATCATAACATTTTTGGCATCTCCGATTGTTGTTTCGCCATCTGAGATCAAAGCCTCTAAACAAACTTTGTTCCCTACGTTTGTCTTTACACCTTTTTATGATCGAGGAAAATGTAGTTTCGGTGTGACTTGCCTTGACTTCATTTGTGTTTGTGTGTTTCTTCTTTACTTCTTCCCTTCCCTCAAAAGGCATTTGAAATCGTACTAATTGGCAAAATGAAGGCTGGAGGATAGATGAAGTGTCCACTCCATCAATACGAAAGTCTATTTGAAGGAGAGCGAAGAGTTCCACACAACACACGTAACCACGCAAACGAATTGATGTAGTTCTCAGCACTCGACGACAACTCCTCCACTAATCAGCCCCATTTATAAACACAACTCGTTCCACTTTACTTCTTGATTCGGAGAATGAGACAATAAAAGTCTTGCAGTGCTATTAACAATTTTAGGTGTTATTTCTTTTCGCCGCCTTAAAAATCGCCAAATGGCTTTTCGAAAGCCGTTGCATAGTTTAGGTAACCTACACAGTGCAGCCGTATGTCAATGACCTTCAACGCCCTTTGGGTGCCACCGTCAACAGCGAGTCAAGTTGAGCATCTTAAACCTCGGACAGGTCACGGCTGTTTTCACCCCCTCACTACGCTCCATCCTTGATCACGCAATCAAGAGATTCAAATTGGCCACTAAAACCTCCTTTAAGGGCAAAACATTTGTTATGTCTATGACAATGAGAAAGACACTTGGAAAGAAGAGGATGAGGAAGAAGTGTCCAAAAATGCTATTACTTGGAAAGGCTTGTGCACTCTCTTGACCACGTGCAAAGATGGCAATACTGAGTCTAAGGCAAAAGATTACACCAATACCATCTCCCACGGTCTTTGTGAACTGTCAATCCGTCTGTGGTTATGTGAAGAGAGGATCACTAAGTGTTGGATGATGAGATCTATGGTAGTCAGAGAAGTAGAGAAGCCTTTATTGCTAAAACGTTTAGAAATGATCTACTTTAATACAAGAAACCGCCCTTCCTACCGCCCTCCTGTTTCTCAGCGGTCCGAATCCTCCTTGCGCGTGATTGTAATACCTTTGGCGTCAAGATCGACTGGCAAAAATACGAGCAACGGGTCACCGCCTCCTGTTATGACAATTCCTAAAGCTGCAGATTTCCTTCCACATCCTAGAGTTTCATTTTATAGACCGATTTTCTCAGTAATCGCAGTCAATTACTTCAGTTCTTCGACCCATAGAGGATTTTGGTCTGCCGAGTCAAAAACCGACTTAAGCAGCAAGAAAAACGGTATCGGAGAGGGGAAGGAGGGTGGGATAGTTTTTTTTGAATTTACCGATAGCGGTAAAAATGGCATCAGGCAATTTCTTATCACGAGTCAGCAAGTGAAAGAGTAAAGAAGTAAGAGGCGGCCTTTAAGTGCTTTTACAGGGATCAATTGATTTCTCCTCAATTTATTTTCCCCAAATCCTCATCTACACGAACCGTGGATGCGCACAAGATGCTTCAAAGTAAGCCTCGTTCGGCGCCGTTGGAGGCTCTCCTTGTCGTGCTATCCCCACCATTCGGAAGCCCTTTTAGCGCCTTCGGTGCGGTGAATTTTATGTTTATTTACCCCACAAAATGTTTCACTAGTAAAATAAACTCGTCACCGACTTGACTCTACTTTGAGGTGGAGGTTTGCAATGAGACGCAAATAGCGGCAAAGAGGACCAGAAGCCCAGAATGCACGGCAGCAGATGGACTGTTTATAACAAGTTTGTGTGCATCTGCTTGTACTTGGACCTTCTAAAGCATTGAGGCACGTCCCTTCAACAGCAAAATTATGCTCTCTGCTGCCCTATTTTAAACTTGGTGCAAGATTTTTTTAAATTTACATACCCACAATAAGTGGGAATTTTAGCGAATTTACAGCACAACAGGATGCAATGTTCTTCGTGGTGCTCTCCTCTGTCTGCCTCTGTTAGGGCTGATGGAATTCCAGCAGCGATGCAAATGCGGACCTAATGTAATCAGAAAGTGCTTCGGTGGAGACACCTTTTCCCGTCGTTTAAAGGCCACAGGTTTGAACACAAAACGAAAATGGGTGGTTGATAAATGGATGACATAATACCCTTAAGATAGCCACCACTAGACTTAGAGGAAAAGGATGCGGTCTTTCTCGCTAAAGTAATGCAATGCTGATTTCTTCAGTGAAGAAAGTAATCCGAATCGCGCAATTCAATGTGCACCTCGCGGATCACCGTCAGGGGTGAACATTGGAGTCGTTCGATTAAAATTGTTTTCAAAGGTGGATGATAAGCTAACACCGATTTTAAAACCCAACAGGTTCGTACTTTGGCACAATAGCACTGTCTACTGTTCAACTTTAGGGAGCACTTGCGGTGATAGAGATTTAACATTGATAGGCGTTGTGATGGAAATCCTGTAACCCATTGGTGGTCACCTTCAAAAAACTTGCTCCCGCAACTTACGCATGACCTTGAAATGAAATGTTGACCGACCTCATACAAATGAGGGGAGGTGACGGCCGTAATGTTCATCTGACATGTTCAACTCT